GAGAAAATGTGAGAGTATCAAAAATAAAAAATAAAATAAAACAATAAATAAAATGAAAACAAAGAAATTTAGAAAAATATACCCTGCGTAGTACCTAAACAACACAAATTCAGGGCACAATGCAAATTTGAAAACAAATCTTAATTAGAAAAGTCAGACGCGGCCGAAATTGAGGCATTGTAGGGCATAAAACTGTGACTTCCTGGTGATTCAATCAAGCCTATAAAGTGGATAATGTTTCCCACCCTGAGCCTATACGCTCGCGCCTGTGATCCGCCCATGTATAAATTGAGCGAACGACCAGAAGGGCCGCGGAGTTGCGTGAAAATCTCGCGAAATGCGGCTCATCGCCGTCGTCATTGTCTACTTGCTCGGCCTTGTTCTGCTCATCCATGCTAAGTCCAAGAGCTCGCATGTAAGTAGCTTTTGTTTAAAAATTTGGATGCGTGTAGTTGAATAAAATTACCCTAATTTTTGTTTATCTGACCGTGCCTGTGAATAAAATCAATCTAAATTATTATTGAGCTTTATTTGAGGTAAGTGTGATAAAAAAAATCTTTGAAATATGTATTACAGGAATTAAAGACTTGTGTGCTGGTTGTAAGATATTTTTTGGTAAACATATTCAACTGCTTAATGTCTCTAAGGCAAAATTTTTATAACAGATACAAATATATACATTTTGTAAAAAATAATTATTCTGAAAAAAAATTTGCCTATTTTTTCCCCTCAGAGCGCAATATATACAATGTTTGTATAATTTTTACACAATCATTTTTTTGGCATAATTTGCATACATTATATTTTCAGTTGTTGCAGAAATTTTCAAAATTTTTTATAGAACAAATTTAATACAGAATCGGCCTTTTCGTAAAAACTTTATTTTTACGTGGGGTACTTACAACCCACACGTATTTTACAGGACCCCCATCAGCCTGTCGATCCCAATGAGGAGCGGCGCAGATTATACCTGGAAGTGATAGCTAATTGCACAAAGGAGGTCGGTATTACTTTCGAAGACTACGCGCTGTCGTTCATAAACAACGACACGAAAGGCATCTATGAGAAAGTCAAGTGCGTTAATGCTTGCATGTTTAAAGCTCATGGAATCGTAAGTTGAGATTTTATATTTTTTTCGTCTTTTTGACGAATTATTATTATTTTTTTTTTTTTTCAATAGTCAAGTTATAGTTAGTAAATTATTTGGTTCAGTTAAGTATTAGATATAAATAAATATATAAATTACAGATGAGACCCAACGGGACGATTAATGCGGAAAAGGCTGTGGAGCACCTATTGTCAAGCAAACTGGGAGTGGACGTGCATGTGTTGCATGACATAATAATCGAGTGCAGTGAAGGAAGTGAGATATATTCAATTATACCGTAAGTTCGACTAATTATGGTGTATAGCATATTTAATGAAATTTTTTTTCAGAGGGAGAAAATGATTGCGACACAGCTCAAAAGTTGATGGACTGCGTGATTGTTAGGTGAAAAAAAAAAAACTGAGTTTTTCATAAATTTTGTCTTTGTTATGAGGTATTCGATGTTAATAAATTCAAAAAACATTTGACATCCAACCCTAAATTAATAAAATTCACTAAAAACGTCTGCAATTTTTTCAGCATCATCCACATGAGGCATTGAGCGTTAGTTTGAAATAGCGTGGGGTTCTAATAATTTGTATTCGTCATTTTAACTGAAACGTGACTCTTTTTGATGTTAATTTTTTAAGCTGGCGATTCTTTTGGTTATTCAAAGTTGAAGGTCTCATTAATTTACAGCTCTTAGTACAAAGTATTACATCTAATATATCATCAGTAGTCATCTGATATAAAATGTATTGTTTCATGTGGAGGTATTAAAATCAAATATTTTTAAAGTATTTCAATTTTTGTTACCGTCAGCTGAGTTAAATGATTTTGATGTTTTTTATTTTAAAAGCATCAAATATGGTATGTCCATGAACTAAAATAAGCGTGTCAATAGAAAAAATCGATCTGCACAAGCATAGTTACAGGGGTTACGCTACTGTACTTGGTATCCTTAGAAAGAAAATAAAAAAAAAAAAAATTTATTCGACGACCACAAGGAGCGAAAATAGGAACTTTTAAAAATTCTTAAATTGATTGTAATCACAGTATAATTTTGCATATTGCACAAATTATTCTTTCCAGTATTGCTAAGTTTATAATAGATTGGTACACGAATTGCAGTTGGTAACCATCGTCACCTACAGTACATAAAGCAGTCGCGCATAGAGAAAATATTATTATCAATCGGTTACTTATTACTCGTAGACATTTTAGTATTAAATTAAATTGGGCTTTTCAATTTGCTTTATGTCAGTGGTTGCAAAAAATAATTGTTTATCCGCTTTCTTTATTTATTAAAAAATGTACAGGGCGAACGCGGCAGGAACATCCCTTTTGTACTACGTGTTAAAAAAAGAAATATTAATTTTTACAGTTATCATTCCGGACACTTTTCTAGAAATTCATCAATATTGTGTATAGTTTTGGTTACAACATGTGTGTATACAGCAGTACCCTACCTTAGGAGCAATACTTGATTATATATTAATATTGTATTTATTTTATTCACCAATGCAAACACAAAAAAAAAATACCAAATAACGATATTAAATTAACCAGGCAGAACTTTATTCAAGATCTCCAGTGATACAGCCCGGCATACGCGGCTGTCAACACACATAATATATACATGTAGCATATCTCTGCAGTTAGTCTATAATATATCTTCAGTAGTCTAGTAACAGAAAACGGATAAATGAGATGTATAATTGATTATATATAGACGATTACGTTTGAATATTAATTATGGCTCTGAAAAGAGCCGATTGTTTTGGTGATTTTCTGAAGTGAGTGTCTTAAGCCCGTTCTCCACGGATGCGTCTGGCCAACTGGATGTCCTTTGGCATGATGGTCACTCGCTTGGCGTGGATGGCACATAGGTTAGTATCCTCGAAAAGTCCCACGAGGTAAGCCTCACTCGCTTCCTGGAGAGCCATAACGGCCGAGCTCTGGAAGCGCAAGTCGGTCTTGAAGTCCTGGGCAATTTCACGCACAAGGCGCTGGAAAGGCAGTTTGCGGATGAGAAGCNGCTCCATATGCCTTTCCGCGGGTGTTGTTGATGTGCCGAACGTACGTGAGTCGACGGTCTAGCGTTACGCCAAGGTACTTGGCGGAGTAGCTCCAGTCGATTTCTACTCCGTTGACCTTTATCTTCTGCAGTTTCTTCCTTGGATATTTCCAGGAGACGAGCATGGCTATAGTCTTAGCCTCGGTTACGACCAGTTTCCAAAGACTATACCAGTTGAGTAGAGTGATGATGTGCTCGTTTACAAGGGTGGTGCACCGAGAGTGTTGTTTTGACGTACAGCTGACCGCGACGTCGTCTGCGTAGACGTACGTGTTGATGTTTTTGCGCTGGGGCAGGTCCTGGCAAAATATGTTAAAAAGGGTGGGTGAAAGTTTGGAGCCTTGTGGGACTCCGGAGGTTATTGGACGGGGGTCGGAGAGGGAGTCACCTACTTTAACGCGGATAAATCTGTCCGAGAGGTAAGATTTGACGGTGCTTATGAGGTAATGTGGAAAACCTAACTTGTACAGGAGGCCCTCGTGCCAAACTCTGTCGAAGGCCTGCTGTACATCTAGAAAAGCTATCGCGGTGAAGATTTTGTGGATGAGGCTATCGGAGAGGTCTTGTGACTCTCAGAAGCTGGTGAACTGACGAATGTCTGGCTCTAAAACCGTACTGCACATCTGGAAGGATGTTATTTTCCGCGGCGTGCTTGTTTAGGCAGGTGAGAATGACGCTTTCAGTGATTTTACTAGGCGATGAGAGTAGGCTAATGGGTCCATTACAGATCCAAAACTGTAAATATAAATGATCAAAACACTTCTATGAGCTACGATATATAGATCCCGATTGATAGTTATTGCCAATTGTGACGTGAACAACAAATTGAAAGTATTCCATTTAGACTGACCTTGAGATACATTGTTGTTAGAATAGTTTTTCACGTTTTAACAATTTTGAGGCCCTGAGAAGGGCCAGTTGTTGTCGTGGGGAGTTGATTTACTTGGAGCTGGTGTACTTGGTTACGGCTTTGGTGCCCTCAGACACGGCGTGCTTGGCTAATTCACCAGGCAGTAGAAGCCTCACAGCTGTCTGGATTTCCCGAGAAGTGATGGTAGACCTCTTGTTGTAATGGGCCAGGCGGGAAGCCTCAGCGGCGATACGCTCAAAGATGTCATTGACGAAACTGTTCATTATGCTCATCGCCTTTGAAGAGACACCAGTGTCGGGGTGAACTTGCTTTAACACCTTGTAAATGTAGATAGCGTAGCTCTCCTTCCTCTTCTTGTGCTTCTTCTTCTTGTCACCCTTGGTGATGTTCTTAACGGCTTTTCCTGCCTTTTTCACGGCTTTGCCAGAGGCTTTGGGTGGCATGATGGAGTGTAGGATGAATATACTAACGACGGAAGTTAGAAACTGAACGAGGTGACCATGTTTCGCCTCTCGTTTTATGAGCGTCCCATGACTTACTCCGAAATTTACCCTGCCCCCTCCTCTCATCTCTTCGAGAGCGAGTCGGCCTCCGAAATTCTCCGTTATTTTCCTTTTTCTTTCTCCTCTTATGCCCTTTTGTCTTCTAGGGGAGTGGTCCTCACGGACGTGTCCCATGAGGGGAGGTTAGTTTTTAGTCGGTAGGCACACCGGGTGAATCCGACACTACCACCGGACTACTGTTGTCATATTTGATTTAACAATTGCCGAGAATGTAGCTTAGCTAACTGCGCCTACAGCACATCTGGATGCAGACTGTGCTTTATCTATGGTAATGGTTGCATTAAATACTCTGAAAGATAGCAAAGAGAGGGAAGTGTTATTGTGTTGCTGGTGAAAGTATCTTCTTTTCCAGTCTTGGATCATGATCTTCGAGAAATTGGTAAACCTTCGCCCTCATCGTCGCATTTCCAAGAGACATATACTCCTTAAGTTGCTGTCTCTCTCACTGTTAGTTCCAACTGCTCTTATTATAAACCCAGTACTCATCTCGACTGAGGAACCTGATGTATATACATACATACACACATACACACACATATATATAATATATATATATATATATATATATATAACGTCTAAACGATATAATAAACGTAAGTTTTTCGAACCCACCATAGTAGGTGACGGCGTCACGGATGACGTTCTCAAGGTATTCCTCGAGAACGTCATCCGTGACGCCGTCACCTACGCATACATTATATTTTCAGTTGTTGCAGAAATTTTCAAAATTTTTTATAGAACAAATTTAATACAGAATCGGCCTTTTCGTAAAAACTTTATTTTTACGTGGGGTACTTACAACCCACACGTATTTTACAGGACCCCCATCAGCCTGTCGATCCCAATGAGGAGCGGCGCAGATTATACCTGGAAGTGATAGCTAATTGCACAAAGGAGGTCGGTATTACTTTCGAAGACTACGCGCTGTCGTTCATAAACAACGACACGAAAGGCATCTATGAGAAAGTCAAGTGCGTTAATGCTTGCATGTTTAAAGCTCATGGAATCGTAAGTTGAGATTTTATATTTTTTTCGTCTTTTTGACGAATTATTATTATTTTTTTTTTTTTTTCAATAGTCAAGTTATAGTTAGTAAATTATTTGGTTCAGTTAAGTATTAGAATAAATAAATATATAAATTACAGATGAGACCCAACGGGACGATTAATGCGGAAAAGGCTGTGGAGCACCTATTGTCAAGCAAACTGGGAGTGGACGTGCATGTGTTGCATGACATAATAATCGAGTGCAGTGAAGGAAGTGAGATATATTCAATTATACCGTAAGTTCGACTAATTATGGTGTATAGCATATTTAATGAAATTTTTTTTCAGAGGGAGAAAATGATTGCGACACAGCTCAAAAGTTGATGGACTGCGTGATTGTTAGGTGAAAAAAAAAAAACTGAGTTTTTCATAAATTTTGTCTTTGTTATGAGGTATTCGATGTTAATAAATTCAAAAAACATTTGACATCCAACCCTAAATTAATAAAATTCACTAAAAACGTCTGCAATTTTTTCAGCATCATCCACATGAGGCATTGAGCGTTAGTTTGAAATAGCGTGGGGTTCTAATAATTTGTATTCGTCATTTTAACTGAAACGTGACTCTTTTTGATGTTAATTTTTTAAGCTGGCGATTCTTTTGGTTATTCAAAGTTGAAGGTCTCATTAATTTACAGCTCTTAGTACAAAGTATTACATCTAATATATCATCAGTAGTCATCTGATATAAAATGTATTGTTTCATGTGGAGGTATTAAAATCAAATATTTTTAAAGTATTTCAATTTTTGTTACCGTCAGCTGAGTTAAATGATTTTGATGTTTTTTATTTTAAAAGCATCAAATATGGTATGTCCATGAACTAAAATAAGCGTGTCAATAGAAAAAATCGATCTGCACAAGCATAGTTACAGGGGTTACGCTACTGTACTTGGTATCCTTAGAAAGAAAATAAAAAAAAAAAAAATTTATTCGACGACCACAAGGAGCGAAAATAGGAACTTTTAAAAATTCTTAAATTGATTGTAATCACAGTATAATTTTGCATATTGCACAAATTATTCTTTCCAGTATTGCTAAGTTTATAATAGATTGGTACACGAATTGCAGTTGGTAACCATCGTCACCTACAGTACATAAAGCAGTCGCGCATAGAGAAAATATTATTATCAATCGGTTACTTATTACTCGTAGACATTTTAGTATTAAATTAAATTGGGCTTTTCAATTTGCTTTATGTCAGTGGTTGCAAAAAATAATTGTTTATCCGCTTTCTTTATTTATTAAAAAATGTACAGGGCGAACGCGGCAGGAACATCCCTTTTGTACTACGTGTTAAAAAAAGAAATATTAATTTTTACAGTTATCATTCCGGACACTTTTCTAGAAATTCATCAATATTGTGTATANTTTCCGCGGGTGTTGTTGATGTGCCGAACGTACGTGAGTCGACGGTCTAGCGTTACGCCAAGGTACTTGGCGGAGTAGCTCCAGTCGATTTCTACTCCGTTGACCTTTATCTTCTGCAGTTTCTTCCTTGGATATTTCCAGGAGACGAGCATGGCTATAGTCTTAGCCTCGGTTACGACCAGTTTCCAAAGACTATACCAGTTGAGTAGAGTGATGATGTGCTCGTTTACAAGGGTGGTGCACCGAGAGTGTTGTTTTGACGTACAGCTGACCGCGACGTCGTCTGCGTAGACGTACGTGTTGATGTTTTTGCGCTGGGGCAGGTCCTGGCAAAATATGTTAAAAAGGGTGGGTGAAAGTTTGGAGCCTTGTGGGACTCCGGAGGTTATTGGACGGGGGTCGGAGAGGGAGTCGCCTACTTTAACGCGGATAAATCTGTCCGAGAGGTAAGATTTGACGGTGCCTATGAGGTAGTGTGGAGAACCTAACTGTATGAGCTTGTACAGGAGGCCCTCGTGCCAAACTCTGTCGAAGGCCTGCTGTACATCTAGAAAAGCTATCGCGGTGAAGATTTTGTGGATGAGGCTATCGGAGAGGTCTTGTGACTCTCAGAAGCTGGTGAACTGACGAATGTCTGGCTCTAAAACCGTACTGCACATCTGGAAGGATGTTATTTTCCGCGGCGTGCTTGTTTAGGCAGGTGAGAATGACGCTTTCAGTGATTTTACTAGGCGATGAGAGTAGGCTAATGGGTCCATTACAGATCCAAAACTGTAAATATAAATGATCAAAACACTTCTATGAGCTACGATATATAGATCCCGATTGATAGTTATTGCCAATTGTGACGTGAACAACAAATTGAAAGTATTCCATTTAGACTGACCTTGAGATACATTGTTGTTAGAATAGTTTTTCACGTTTTAACAATTTTGAGGCCCTGAGAAGGGCCAGTTGTTGTCGTGGGGAGTTGATTTACTTGGAGCTGGTGTACTTGGTTACGGCTTTGGTGCCCTCAGACACGGCGTGCTTGGCTAATTCACCAGGCAGTAGAAGCCTCACAGCTGTCTGGATTTCCCGAGAAGTGATGGTAGACCTCTTGTTGTAATGGGCCAGGCG